AGCGAAGAGGCCTCGACTTCACCGGGTTCAATGGGGAAGTGACAGGCGGCGGTTCTAGCGGAATGAGTTCGAAACTCGGCGGTTGCAGGAAGTTTGAAACTTGCGTCCTTGGTATTGAATCAAGACGATTCGCTAGACGGGTAGCATGCATCATAGAAATGAAAGAAAGGCGACCGTTTATAGGAAAGTGTTCCGGGTTTTGATCCATGGAGCAAAAAATATCGGAATTAAATAGGTTCATATGACGTCTACTGGAACGACTCGCTCTTCGTGTGGTCTGTTGGCTGCACGTTGTCCACAGGGCGACGGATCTTATCATTACGTAAGGAGTCTTCTGCAGAAGGAACGAGTTAAGGTTCAGAACTCCTGCGTTTTGTCCTATGAATTAAGTTGTCCTGAAGCACAGATGTCAGGTACTACCGAGGCCGAAAAAATGAAGGTCATTTGGGATGTGACACCGTCCAGTCCGGTAGAGCGATACCATAAAGTGTGATAAATGCACGCGTGCACAGGTGGCCTGTGTCATCGTGTATCAAGTCTAGGAGTAATCCATATGCTGATATTAGTCTTCCATTGAATGTCATTTTCGTTTAGTGGGGGTTGGAGTCCAACTGAGTCCACTCGGCACGGCGGCCACTGATTGACCTATTGTAGCCTACCCCGGGTGATTATGATGATGGAGAATTTGGTGGAATGAAAATTGGCAGGGGAAGCCGAAGTACTTGGAAAAAACCCGCCCCAGCGCCTCTTTGTCAACCACAAATTTACAAATACCGTAAACTCTCACTGATCGAGATTAACTGGGGGGAGATCATCCGGATTAGTGAACCAAAAGGTAGCCCCAAAAGACAGAAACACTTAGAACACAAATAAATGGAAAGTTCAGTGATACATGTGGTGCTGATGAAAATAAATAAAAGAATAACACTGTAGAGCCTTTATTAAAAAAAAAAGAATACTTGTATTCATCGATAGAAAACATAAGTTGAACGTAACGCTGCAGGTTTGAAGAAACTTGTCAAGTTTTGTCTGAACAGACAAGTCTTTTAAAGTATGCGCTCAGCTGTGAACAACATTTTTCATGTTTCGATCCGGATTAGCGAGGGTCTATTGTATACTTTGGGCCGCTACCATCCTACAGGAATGGGATGAGAGTATGTGAAGTGGATTCATCTGGCTCAGNGTGACTCGTCTGCTTTTAAAATATGTGCTCAGCTGTGAACAGCATTTTTCATATTTCGATCCGGATTAACTGCAACCGGATTAGCGAGGGTCTGTTATATACTTTGGGCCGCTACCATCCTACAGGAATGGGATGAGAGTATGTGAAGTGGATTCATCTGGCTCAGGATAGGGTCAGTGGCAGACTGTTTTGCTAATGAGCCCGTGGGGTCATTTAGGTATACAGGATTTCCTGCCACCCGCGACTTGCCGTCAGAACATGCCGGAGCAAGATTGGGATCTGTCAGCAAATACTGGAGTGGTGGCAGTGTACAAGCGAGGTGCATGTTGACGGAGCGAGGGACGCGCATACCTCAGCGTACGGATTCAGAGCGAACCCTAATGGAATGCAGCCCGCTGCGCATGGCAACACCGCAGCGCGTGGTTCTGCAGCCAGACACAGAACTCCCTGCCACCCAGTTCAAATCTCGCTCCAGGCTACTATCAACAGGGATTGTTCATCATCGTGATCACAAAATGACTGTCATTGTCGGTTACCGTGCGAGCCCCAGAACATGAACAGACCGACGAAGAAACGGGACCTCCTTACCGATCCTTACTCAGTCATCATGCCTACTAATATGACGTAATTTAAGTATATGGAATAAGGAAATTGGAACGACAGAATGAATGTATAATGGGTGGGCCTTCTTCAGTGGTCTGTTGTGCTTGGGAACGACAGAAAGTTGAGATAATAGTCCTGAAGAAATTCGGATAAAATGATATGAAGTGTACTGCATTCTGGGATGCGACACTGGTTGAAGCTTACTGACGCTTCGGAGGAACACATTGCCTTTATCTTCAGGATCGAAGAGAAAACCAAGCAAGCATGAAGCGGACCGTTGGTCGCCCCCGTAGTTTAATATTATACCCTGAAGATAGAGACAGTATATTCCTCCGAAATGCAGATGAACTTGTACCAGACTGCACGGCGTCATGTTTAGTCACCGCTGTGAGAACTTTAAATGTAATATTGCTCGTAAGTTTTTTTTTTATTTCGCTTAGTGGGGGGTGGAGTCCAACTGGGTCCACTCGGCACGGCGGCCACTGATTGGCCTATTGTAGTCTGCCCCGGGTGATTATGATGATGGAGAATTTGGTGGAATGAAGATTGGCAGGGGAAACCGAAGTACTCGGAGAAAACCTGCCCCAGCGCCACTTTGTCAACCACAAATCCCACTTGACGAGACCCGGAATCGAACCCGGGCCGCCCCGGTGGGAAGCCGGCGACTAACCACTTGAGCTATGGCGCGGCCTTTGCTCGTAAGTTCCTCGCGAAACCTGACCTCAGAACACAGACCGAGGATGTCTTAGAACTGGGTGCCAAAAGGGAGTGTCAGGGGGTTACAGAAAATTCCACAATGAGAAGTTTCATTTTTTCTTTTTTTGAATTGTTTCATTTTTGGTCCGTTACACTATCAGTCACAAAGTCAATAAAAAGTCCGTCGAGTGTAACAACTTGTAGGTCACTTCTTTATGACGTCTGCCGGATACATTCTTGGTAAGAGATCACTTGAAGGTCTAGGCACATAATTTTCAGATTGAGTAAACTGATTGTGACACATTGACACAATTAGATTAGACTATGTGGGGATAGGGTTCAATTCCCGGCATGGGCAGGGATCTTTGTCTTCGTCATCACGTTAAAACTATATATGAATTTCCTAAGATAAAGCAACCAGAGCCTGAAACACATCCTATGTGCGCAGAGCACAATATTTATGTATGTCCTGACGGTTATCGAACACGGGAGCTCTGACCCCGAACCTACCGACGATAAATTTAGTCGCCCAGCGCCGTGCCGTGGCATGAGTCGCGCTCCGGGGGGGCCTGACTTGCCGACACCTGATCCGGGGAGGCGGACCGCGTAGAAATCATTCATTGTCCTGTGTTCACATTCAGCGGTCCGCGACTGGTGTGTCCCCGATGTGAGTAATGGCTGGGGAAGTTCTCTTGCTACAGCGGGCACTCAGCACAGCACAGTTAACTCATTAAGCACTACGCCATGAAGGCGTATGATGGAATGGATGTATAGATCCACATGTTCTTGATCTCGGCACTAGCTGGAGGTGAGTGATCAGCTTCACGCCCTGGCCCCTCTGCCCCCGGTACCCATTGGATAAGAGGTTGGGTGGGCCCCAGAGCTGGTCTGGACGATGTGGAGAAGAGACAATTCTTGACCCTACTGGGACTCGAACTCCAATCCACAGTCGTCCAGGCCGTATCTGGTCGCTATACTGAATACGCTATCGCAGCTACTAGTGTCCTTAGGACATTGCTGAGTAGCGGGGACAAGGAGCGGTCAGAAGATCACAGCTTCTTTGTTACAACCATCGACATTACCGATTCCAAAGAAATCACGAAAAGGAAGTGAAGAGGAAATCATATCAAGACCTCCATAAGGTTATCTGATACGAACCGCTAGCTCGTCTGACAGACCGAACTAGAAAGCCTATCTATTTCATTTCTCTCTTTTTTACAAGGGACATAATAAAATCATGAAATATGCCACTATGTACGGTAGGCATCAATTGAATTGAGTAAATTTCAGTTGCTTAATTTGACAAGGAAAGCAGCTACAGTCCAGGCATTGAAATTTTAAGGAATGGCGGAAGCCCGAAGGACTTCTTATTCTGATTACTGGTTATTGAAAAAAAAAAATTGTAACCCGCTGCGGAGTGACACAAACTTGTAGCTAGAAAAATGAAAACGACTGGGAAAGCCTCGCGGATTTCTTCAGGGCCTCGTGTGAGCTCATTAGACGGGCGAAGCGCTATGTGACGTCACAGAGTTCGGTAACCGGTAAGTGCTATCTCTGCTGAGAGACTCGTGGCAGGCGCGCACGCTAATGGCCACTTCCTGTCGTTCTCAGGACCCATGATGTGGAGACAGCTGAATCCAATCCGCAAAGTTAGATGTTTTAGGGACCTCGGCAACCCACGGCAGCATTTGATCCTCATTCTCAGTCTCTTGAAGATTCATTTTAATATTATCCCACATTTTGGCCTTCCGAACTGTCAAAAGGAAATCATTGTAAGTAGTGAAGTTCCAATTGCGTTATGTGTAACGGTGAAATATAGTTCTTAAAAATGAAGAACGAAGTCCGCTAATATCGGTGTTAGAAGCCCCAGTGCTTGACTCAGCATGACGCTACGTCCTGCGGTGAAGTGGAAGTATAGGTCCACTCATTCTTAACCTCTGTACTAGATGCAGGTGGTCACCTTGACGCCCCGGCTGCTCTACCCCCGCTAGCCAGTGGATACGGGGCCAGCCTAGACGCTGTGGAGAAGAGAAGTGTCTTCTGGGACGTGACGCTGTGTAGTGTGGTAGAAAGGTACCAACGTTTCGGTGGTATCTGCTGCATTGCACGCTGAAGGTGTATGAAGTGTGTTCTCTACCAGACTACGCGGTGTCAAAACCCAGAAGCCAAAGTCAGTGCCGTGGGGAGATCCCATTGAACAAGGACACAGACACAGCGTTGTCCCTGGAGCGTGAGCGCAGGTTTTTGTTGCGGCGGTGATGAACCTGTGTGTGGTTCAAGTCTCCAGGCAAATGCCGCATAGGACACGGACGTTTCCGTCATCCCACCAGCCGACGAGTGTGAGATACCGGCCGTGACGTCACGACCGTACAAGGACTAGGGAGACGGGCGATAAGCTCGGGCCTGTTCCGCACTGCACATGCTGTTGTCCTGTAGCCTTGAACTTATGTTGGTCTCGGGCTCTCATATGCTTTGAGACCCACTAACCCCGGGTTGCTAAGCAGCCCACACACACAGGTTTTTCCCCCGGGGTTAAAGCAGCCGGTGCGTGAAGCTGACCACTCCATCCAGCGAGCGAACCTCTTCATGACGCGCAGAGACTTAACCGTTCTGTTGGGAAGGGGCGCCCCTCGCAGTAATCAGCTGGGGTGGAGGGTGCACTGGACGAGAAACACGAGAAATTGCAAAATGGCGTCTGTTGGTAGGAAAGCCTCGAGGGAAGCGGACCTGTTGCAAGAAAAAGGCGTAGATGGGGAATCCATCTTAATAGGGTGTGAGGCTTTGGGTTACATTCAGTTGGCTTAGTATAAAGTCTGATGCTGAGGTTTTGTGAACACGGTAATGAACCGCAAGGTTATTTAAAAAGCGAGGAATTTTTGTACCCGCTGAGCCACTATCAGCTTCTCATGCACTGTGTCTTATGAAGTTCATGGGGTTACGTGAATCGCAGAACTGCGTCGTTATCCGCGGTTCTGTTAAATTCGCTATTGAAGCGTTCGCGCTGCCTCCATGTTTGCTACGTTGACCACCAGTCGCGTCGAACGAGAAAGGGAACATGGAATTCCAGCAGTCGCCCGTTCTTTATTCCCTTTGCATTGTACGTAAGATTAAAAGACAGTACAGTATTTCAATATCCCCCTTATAAACCTGAAGGAAAGAGACAACTTGGAAGACCAAAGAGCAGATCGGTGGGCACTATTAAACCAGATCTTAATATGGTGAGAGAGCTTAGATTGCATTCAACTGGCTCAGGATAGGGTCCCCTTGTGGGCTCTTGTGAACCCGGTAAGGATTCTACGGGTTACATAATGGCGGAGAGTTTATTGACAAGCTGAGCGACTGTTAGTTTCACAGAGATACTGCTCCATGAAATTAATTGTATAAGGAACTACGAAAGCATGTCTAACTTCTATCATACTAAATTTAATAAAAATCGGTCAGTTGGCTGGGTTTCAGTCACTGCTCTCGTTGTGTCCGTGGGAGCCGCCGCTGGACCCGCTGTGACGCCATGTCAGGGCTGCCACCCACTCCATGCATAAACATAAATCCTTTGTTACCGGGCGCGTTCACATACCGACCGAGCTGTCTGGAGCGCTTCCCTCTGAGTATCAGCGCAGCCTGGAATCAAGGAGCCGAGAGTTCGAGCCCTGATACATTCGTGTCAATGTCTTGCTCCAATTACGAACGTCAGGCAGGTTGAAGTGGCTCCACAGGCAGCGGAATGCAGNTCGTTTCCGAAATTGTGAACCGTGTGTGCCAACCACAAGCTGGCCTCAGACAGACAAGGTCCTACTAAGTGACATGTAAATTTCAGCTCGCGGTAGCGTAGTTGGCTGAGGCACTATTCTACAAGCCGCAAGGTTGCGGGTTCGAGTCCCAGTCACGCTAAGGCCCTGAAATCGAGTCAGCCTCTAACAGAAACGAGTACCAGGAATCTTCCTGGGGGATAAAGAGCGGCCGGCGCGTAAGGCTAACAACCTTAACGCCATCTTTGAGCCGATTGTCTAGATAATGTGGGACCCTCAACGTCAAACAACCCTATGGGCCTTTACGGCCTGTTACAGGGATAGCTTTACCTAAGAGAAAACACCTTGTATTCGATTAGAAAGAATCGTACGAAACACTTGAATGAAATTGCGCAGAGATCTGAATTGTTAAATAATGCGGTGCATATAGTTACCACAAGGCTCTGCATTGTTAGACAAGATGGCTAAAGAGGCACAAGATTCTTTATTTCCATTGCTTCTAAATACGCCACACAAACGCTTCACTACACCCTGTCTAGAAGTAAACGCAGAGAAGTCGTGTCTGGTGATCAGAATGCCTGGACACACACGTAACACAGACAGCTGTGGGACTGTGACAAAGTTAAAATATTTGGGATCGATAGTAATTAATCAGAAGTTGATTCAGGATGAAATTAAGAGCACACTGAATTTGATATTGCTTGCTATCATTTAGTTCAGAATCTTAAGTCTTCTCGTCTTCTGTCTAAAACCGTAAAAATTAAAATGCACAAAACTATAATTTTTCCTGCGGTTTTGTATGGGTGTGAAACTTGGTCTCTGACATTAACGGACTGAAGGCATTTGAGAACAGAGTGCCGAGAAGAATATTTGGGCCGAAGACGGATAAAGCGATAGGAGATCGGGGGAAGCTGCATAACGAGGCACTTCATACCTCCTACTCCTCGCCAAATATAATTAAAATAAGCAAGTCAAGAAGGATGAGATGGGCAAGACATGTAACACGAATGAAGGCAAAGAAGAATGCATATGGGATATTTGGAAAGCCAGAAAGAAAGGGGCCACTAGGATGTGAAAGAACTGGATGGGATAATATTACAATGAATCTTAGAAAAATAGGATTGGGTAGTATTGATTAGATTCATCTGGCTTAGGATAGGAACCGGTGACAATATCTCGTGGTCACTATAATGAACCTTCATATTCCGTAAAATGTAAGGAAATTCTTGAGTGTCTGAGCGGCTGGTACATCTCAAGAAGGGTTCGGTTCCATGGAGTTAGTTGTGTGGTGAACTGTCGAAGTACAAAACGGCCGCGGAATATAGTGGCCAGTTGGAAAACTGTTATTTGTCAGTGAAGAACCTGTACCATAAAGTTCGTCGCTAGGTTATGGTTTCGACAGAACAACAATACGACACATTTTGCTCAGGTCTGAATTGTCTGGTAAGACAGGACTGAAAAACGAAGCATTTTAATCAGGTCAGAAATTGTCTGGTGAGACGGGACTGAATAACGAAGCATTTCAGTCAGGTCAGAATTTGTCTGTTGAGACGGGACTGAATAACGAAGCATTTTAATCAGGTCAGAAATTGTCTGGTGAGACAGGACTAAATTATAAAACATTTTACTCGTCAGAATTGTCTGGTGAGACGGGACTGAATAACGAAGCATTTTAATCAGGTCAGAATTTGTCTGGTGAGACGGGACTGAATAACGAAGCATTTCAATCAGGTCAGAATTTGTCTGTTGAGACGGGACTGAATAACGAAGCATTTCAATCAGGTCAGAATATGTCTGGTGAGACGGGACTGAATAACGAAGCATTTCAATCAGGTCAGAATTTGTCTGGTGAGACAGAACATTTTACTCGTGTTAGAATTGCCTGGTGAGACGGGACTGACAAGACTAAAGCACAGAACATTTTAATCACGTCAGAATTGTCTGGTGAGACAGGACTAAAGCACAGTACATTTTGATCATGTCAGAATTTGTCTGGTGAGACGACAAAACATTTTAATCAGGTTAGAATCTGGGGAGTCAGGATGTGTTTACGATGCATTCCGATCTCTGTTGCAGGTACATCCACTCAAAGGAGAAGCCGTTCAAGTGCGGTGAGTGTGGCAAGGGGTTCTGCCAGTCGCGGACGCTGGCCGTGCACAAGATCCTGCACATGGAGGAGTCCCCACACAAGTGTCCGGTGTGCAGCCGCAGTTTCAACCAGCGCTCCAACCTCAAGACACACCTGCTCACGCACACCGACCACAAGCCCTACGAGTGCGGCTCCTGCGGTAAGGTGTTCCGACGCAATTGCGACCTCCGACGCCACGCCTTGACGCACACCGTGGGCGATGTTCCCCCTGAGGTGCTGGCGGAGACGTCGACCCGCCCTGAGGCGCCACCACCCCCGCATAAGGAACCATCACCGTCCTCGCCCGAGCGCACTCCCCCACCTCGGCGAAGTTCTCCTCCCCCCACAACGCGCTGTCACCATCACGATTCATCCTCGTCCTCATACACGATGCGTCCCCAGCCGCCTCCCGACACCCCGCACGTCCCCCATCTGCAGATACGCCGTGATCTGCATAGGTCCACCTCAGCCACTGTAACGAGTCTGGAACACATTCCGGGCCCTAGCATGGGACTCGGTATATTCCGGAGGAAAGTGCCGGAGCCTCCGGATATCCGTGTCCGTAGCTCGCCCTCAGATCCGGGGCCGTCAACATCGCGAGATAAAGGGATCACACCCACAGTCAGACCGCAGAGGAACCCGTCTACCAAGATGCATGGCTTCAGCATAGAAGAGATAATGCGACGCTAGTGCCACTCTTGTTGACACGTGTGCGGACTCCAGAACGTTCTGTTCATGTTGTTGTTGTTGTTGTTTCCGATCTCAAGGTATTACAGTAGAATAGAGATATGGGCGCGATGTTGCCAGCACAGCACTCACGTAATGTGAGATGTAGCAACGCCGCCTCATCGCGCCCTACACGATGTACTAGAACCGTGAATAGGATTATGATAAATACAATAAAAAACGTTGCTTCATTTTTAATTTGGCCTGTACCATAAATCAGACCGTTGTGTCCAGCTTCTATCATTCCATCTAGCTTCTTCCCCCCCCCCTTTGCTCACAGATCCTGCTCCGTCCAGTGTCCCTGGAGGCTCGCGCATGCGTGCAGTGCGGCTTAACAAGTTCTACGGCCCCACCCTGATGTAGTTTACATATGTAGAGCAGCCTCAGTGTTGCCAACTTATGAACAATGCACAGCACGTTAAGGTTGGTATCTATTTTGAAACTGAATGACATTTGGCTTGAGTTATGTTGCGAAACGAGCCTTCGCCAGTTTTCTCGGAATTTTATGAGACTGCTGTCTCTCTCTAGGGATGAGATGTTTTCGTTCCGATGCAAAAATGTTCTTGCCTTGTTTCGATGTTTTGTGTAATATACTGCGGTACATAACGCGTCCCTCGAAATTGTACATATTCAATTCATTTTGAAGTTTGAGGCGCTCTTGTCGGTAAGTGTAAAGAACATGTTCGTGTGTGATATGACGCCGTGTATATTGGCACATCCTCACCAGCCTTTCCGAAGAACGTATTACCTTCATCTTCACGGTAGAATAATTCTAAGCACGACGTTCCTACTAAACCCTGTTTACCATTGTACCAAACTACACGGTATCACAGAATCACATACACCTTTATGCTTGTTTGTTAATGACATTTGTCTCGGTAGGGCCAAGAATATTCTCTATGTCATTCAGAGCGGCCGGGGCGTGAAACTGAACACTCACCTTCATCTAGTGTAGAGATCAAGCAGACTTGATCTATGCATCTACTCCTCCGTACGTCTTAATGGCGGAGTGCTTAATTAGTTAAGCATAGGGACTTTATTCTCTTTCCTTTATCGATAAACGTACGCTACAAATTCCATTGGCTACCTGCCTGAACTTGCCGATCATCTTGAACCTCTGTGTTCAAATAAGCGTGTCTAATTTTAATAGGAGTAGGTAAATATTTCGCCTTTACATGGTCGTTATAGGCCAACATCAGTAGGTACAGCCAGCGCTCTAAAGGAATTGCCGTCTGATCACAGAAGGACATTTCAGTAGTTACATAAAGTAAAATTAAAAATGAACACAGTTAAAATAGGTTGTGAATATTACGAGTTGATGGTTAACGCACCTTGCAATATGTTGAGAAGTCTTCCTGAGTAGATACAAGGATGTAACGGTGACCCTTGTTCCTGTTGTTGGCTAAGTATGATTCTATTCGCGTTGTGTTGTACGTTGTGTGTGATCCAGTGAAGTGGTGGGCTTCATTTGTTGGAGTATACTGTTGCTGGTCCTCGCCAGCACAGTTGTCCCTGTGATGCCATGTAGTCTGTTCGGAGGAACCTACTACCCCCATTCTGAGGGTTGCAGAGCTGCTTATTTGTTCGTCTTATTCTTCGGCAGTGCGTTTCTGCGAAACCAGACCTTAGATGGCTCAGTCAGTGAGTGCCCTGTTAGACCGAGCGGGCTTGCACCCTGCATAGACAGCTGAGCCAGCGCAGCCCGACTGCAACTGCATTCACAGCTGTATGTCTCCTCTACGCTGCGCACTGGCTCAAGCGGTTCGAATCTCGGCCGAGACAGTACTTCTGTTTCGGCTACTACCGCTTCCTTCCCCATCCCTTCCAAATGATGGCTCACTTATAAACTATTCGACGCTATACACCGTCGCTAAATAAACCATTTCCGCAGATCCCTGTGAAGGACGGCCATATAGAGTCCCCGGAAATTCGCCCTTATGGACTCAGTACTCAGCTCCCTGACAAACACTGAGGCGAACATGTCCCTTGATACAATTTCGGTGGACGCATCATTTTCTCTGAAAGCTTGATTACGGGGAACAGACGCTGCGTCCAACTTTATTTTTCAAAGAGTCGAAGGCAAAGTTATGTTAAGACCGTCGGTCAGTGGACCAGTCTGTTGGTGTGAAGCCCCCATCCGGCCCCCAAAGTCAGATTTTTGTTAGTGTTGGACAGTTGCGGGTTTGTTGATATGGGGCGCCTTCACTGTTGAGAGGATGGGTCTGTCGTTTACATTTGCTGCTGACCCTCGCCAGCGCAGTCATTCTTGGGTCCTAGTCTCACGGGACTTACGACCATATTTTAGTGTCTTTAAGATTCGAGACTCCCCAACCCGGAGGGTCAGGTCCCCTATTCATACCCCCCGAACAAGGTGGCCCGGTTATACCCCCAGGCACTGGGTTCCCTTTTCGCTGCCTCCTACGACTCGCATGGCTACGGTGGAGGTATTCGAATCTGCCTCCACATGGGCTGTTTAAGGACCGAATCTCGTCTAAATATTATATAAATTCAGTTCGTGCCTCACAGGAAACACATTACGTCTCCGCTACAAACCCACCCGGTTAATGCAGTTTGGGGAAACAGTTGCTGTTTAGCGTGAGAACCGTACGGAACACAAATACAGGTTATGGACAGAATGCAGAGTTTTGGTATATTAAAGTAATGATTAACCATTGGACTTTAAAAGATTAACCGCATCTTCCGCGAAAATTATGCGCCCATCGACATTTTGTCAAAGGACATATTTGCATCTGTGTGTTTGAAGGAGTCCGTAAGCGCTACTTGCGAGACATTCTGCAGAGCCAGGCACTTTCATGATCAAACACGGTATTACTGACAGTGACCTTCGGTGCACATCGTCCTCACGCGCTGAGCTACGAATCCTGTTACGTGTCTCTATTTGATCTCCCCGCCTTGTACTTGGCTGTCCGCGCGGTCTGTGTTTCAGTACTACCTGCATTTTGGCGACGGGACACGGGCTGCAAGACCCATGAATCGCGGCACGATTCCCGACACAGGGCCATCCAGCCGGGGCACATATCCTGAGGAATAGAGCGATCCGGTCCACTCACCTCCATCTAGAGCCGAGGTTAAGATTGGTGTAGCTCTACCTCCACACCCCTATACGCCTTCATGGCATAGTACTTAATTATTTAAGCATAGAGACAACTTTACCTTCATTTTGCCTCTACATTTCATTCAACTTACTCAGTAATATTCGCCTCATTCTGTAAGAGGAGGACGGCTTTAATGAATAGCTTTTTAGAATGGGAAGACACTCGCGGTCAGCACAAAACCAACAGGCCGACGAGCCACTAGTTGCACGCCCCCATCTACATATCGATAGTAAAAAAAAAAAAAAAAGTAAAGCTATCCCTGTAACAGGCCGTGAAGGCCCATAGGGTTGTGAGATGTTGAGGTTCCCACGTTTTCTAGACAATCGGCTCAAAGATGGCGGTAAGGTTGTCAGCCCTACGCGCCGGCCTCCCTTTACCCCCAGGAAGATTCCTGGTACTCATTTCTGTTAGAGGCTGAGTCAACCCCAGGGCCATAGTGCGGCCGGAAGGATTAGGTCAATTGAAAAAATCCAGTGACCTCATCGAGATTCGATCCCGCGACCTTACGGCTTGTAGCATAGTGCCTCAACCAACTACGCTACCGCGTGCCATCATATATCGCTAGTGCCGAAATATAAAACTTGTGTTAATTAATTACGTATTGAAGACAGTAAACACTCGCTAATCGGGATTAGTTTGGAGGAGGGTCATCCGGATTAGTGAAACAAAATGTAGCCCTAAAACAAAAACTTAGATCGCGAATAAATGGAAAAATAATTGATATAAGTAGTGGTGGTGAAAATAAACAAAAAAATATATAACTGTAGAGCCTTTATTTAAAAACTATATAAAGACAATACATTTATTCATCGTAAAAAGACTCAGAAGCTGTACTTGTTTTTGAACGTAATAATATAGGTCTGAAGGAATTGTCAAGTTCTGTCTGAACAGACAAGTGGCTCATCTGCCTTCCTAAATGCCACGCGTCTTTTAAAGTGTGTACTAAACTGTGAATAACATTTTCCATATTTTGATCCTAATTAGCGAGCGTTCGCTACAATATCAGGGGCACATACACAATACACGCACAGATATGACATGGTAAATACAGCGGGGGGGGGGGCAGGTTTTCTTGTGGACTAGTGTGATCGCAGTAGAGGGGCAGCCAGTTGCAGCAACGAAAGCAAATTGCGTTTACGAGGCGAGGTCAAATGGTGGAATGTTTCAGAATGTTTTGTCTTCCCGTCTGCTACCCAAACCCGTAAAAACGAAGCTATTCAAAACGGAACATTTGCCTCCTGTTTGTCTCGCATTGAGGGCACACAGGCTGGGGGTTGTCTGACCACGATGGGCGGATGGCCCTGCTTGGCCGACGTGCACTTCGAAGGCTGGAATGCATCTTAATGTTACGTATATTTAGATGTTCAATTCCCACCTCAAATAAAACACACTTCATCTCCGTTACAAAGCCCAACCGGTTAATGATGTTGAGGGAAACAGTCGCTTTTTATTTTGAGAATCATATGAAGCACATAAATACACTGTGTGGGCAGAATTCGTAGGTCTTGAATGTTAAGGGAGGTGGTAAGTATAGTTACCGCTGTGCCTTAACCGGCTAGATGACAGTTCAGTGGAAGTTTCAAATGCGTTGCTGTGTGTGATTGTATACAGCGCTAAATTTATCCATGTATTTACGAAAAATGCGGAAAGGCCAAGGTTTTGATGCTGTGAGTAGTAAAAGTGAACCGATGGAGGCGGCAGGCGGTAAATGGCAGAGGATGGACACCTGTCGCGATGCAGGCCAAGGTTTCTCGAGGGTTGTAGAACCAAGGTTACTTAACGACGCTCTGGGTAGCTCTAATTTTGTTGCATCATACAGTAGAGACATCAGTATGCAAAGTGAATGATGTGGGCGTGAGTGGGAGGGACTGAGCAAAACCATAGAAAAGCTCGAATAAGTAGCAAGTCTCCGGACCGAGATCAGAACCCAGGAGCTGCAGAATACGAAACAGGAGTGCTTCCCGCTTCTCAGCGGTATGCGACGATCGGGCAAGCGACCGGGGCGTGAAGCTGGCCGCTCGGCTTCATATGGCTCACTGGAGCAGGTGGAACCCGCTATAAATAAACATGAGTAGCGGGCGG